CCAGCACCCACATGGCAGCTAACAACTGTCCGTAACTCCAGTTCCAGGGGATCCGACAGCCTCTTCTGTCCTCTGCGGGCATTGCACGACATGGGTGTGCTTTACATGCAGGCAATACATGCATACACATAAAATAAAAATAATAATAAAAAGGGGTATAACATACTGATTCCCTAAGAAAGGCATAGAGTCCTTTTCAGTCAAAATACACAAGACAAAAAAAAATGATAAAACTTGGGTCTGGAGAGATGGCGAGGTGGTTAAGGGCACTAGCTGCTCTTGCAGAGGACCCAGATTCTATTCTGAGCACCCACATGGAGGCTAACAATCATCCATAACTCCAGCTCCAGGGGATCCAACACCCTCTTCCGAACTCCGCGGGCACTACATGACATGGGTGTACTTATATACATTCAGGCAATACACTCATACACATAAATAATTTTTTTAAAAAAAATGACAGAACTACATGGGACTGGAGAGATAGTTCAGCAGTTAAGAGCACTGGCTGTTCTTGTAGAAGACCCAGGTTCAAACCCCAGCACCCACATGGCAGCTGACAACTGTCCATAACTCCAGTTCCAGGAGATCTGACACCCTCTTCTGTCCTCCAAGGGCAATGCATGACATGGGTGCATGTACACACATGCAGGCAATACACGCACACACAGAAAAATAATATATAAAATACATATATTTTTAAAAAATGATAGAACTACAAACAACTATATGAATGTAGAATAGTTGGAGACTTCAACAGCTCGCCATCAGCTACGCATAGATCTAGAAAGCAAAACACCACAAGGAACTGACAAACCCAACAGCTCCAGCAACTAACTGCATATGTTTGGCATCCATAGCCTGCTCTATTCAACATCAGAACAATACATAATCTCCTGAAACAGACCACATTCTGGGCCATAAAACACAAATTTAGAAGTATAGAAAGCATGCAGTATCTGTTCTTGGACCACAACAGAATTAAAGTAGAAATAGCTAACAGAAAAAAGCTAGAAAATATAAAAATACTTTGAAATTAAACAACACACTTCTAAATAACATACAAATCAAAGATAATATCTCATGAGAAATTAAAATTTTTTATTTGTTTTTATTGAATTTTTGTGTATTTCATACAGAACATCTCAAACAATCTTGATCTACCTTTATATCCCTGTCTTCACTGGCACCTTCCCATAGCTCCCCTGAACTGGAGCCCATATTCTCTGTCATCCCTGTTAAGGCCCACTGTGTTGTCAGTGTCCCCAGCTGGTCTCCAGTGCAAGTCCATCCACTGAGGTCTAGTCAGCCTATCTAGAGTCCCTTGTTTTAAGAAGATCAGCTCTTCTTCACCTAGCAGCAACCAGTTGCCAATATTTCTCCAGATAAGACTGGGGTCTGTTGTTCATTTTCCCAGTTCTATGCTGGGTTTTTGTCTGCCTGAGTTTGCATGGGACTTGTGTATGCTGACACCACTGCCATAGAATCATATGAGAAATGAAAACACAGCTTAGTAAATTTTGTAACACAATGATAGTAGTGCTTATGTATAGCACTGAATGGATATATTAAGGAAGATTTAATAATCTAGACATCCACTTTAGGACACAAGCACACATAAAAAGAAGAGCAAATTAAATCCAAAAATGAGAAAAAGAAAAGATGAAAATTAGAACAGAAATCATTGAAACTAAAAATAGAAGATCAATTAAAAAACCCATTCATGGAACCAAAAGCAGGTTCTTTAAAAAGATCATCAAATCAACAAACCCCTACATAAGGCTAACCACACTGATGGGACTGCAAACTGGTATAGCCACTATGGAAATCAGTGTAGAAAATTCTCAAAAAGCTAAAAGTATATCTATTATATGACCCAGCTAAACCACTCTTGGCATATACACAAAGGACTGATATAACAGAGATACTTGCTCGACTATGTTCACTATTGCTCTTTTCACAATAGCAAGGAAATGGAAACAACCTGTGCTGGACAGCTTTGGTTGCCAACTTGACACACCTGGGAATAGGGAGCCACAACTGGGCAATTTGCCTGTGGGCATGTAGGTGAGGCATTTTCTTGATTGTTGAGTGATGTGGGAGGGCCTAGCCCACTGTGGGTGGTACTACCCCTGAGCAGGTGGTCCTGTATTATATAAGAAAGCAGCCTGAGCAGAGGCTAAAGGAGCAAGCCACTAAGCAGCGTTCCTCAGTGATCTGTGCTTCAATTCCCGTCTGCAGTTTCCTGCCCTGAGTTCCTGCCCTGGCTTCCCTCAAGCATGAACTGTGGACAAGACATGTAAGCCAAATAACACAGGAATGGAAGGGGACTTTCTCAATTCGACTTGCTAAGTATTATCTGAAAAAGAAGCATCATACTTACTGGTACAAAACTGAAACCTTTCCCACTAAAATCAGAAACAAAGCATTCTCACAACTGCTACCAATAATATAGTGAGAGCCCAAGCTAATGCCCCTAGATAGTAAAAGGTAATAAAAGGTATTTATATGGAGAAGAAATAAAACTGTCTTTATTCACAAATGACATGATCATATTAGGTAGAAATCCAAAAGAATCAACAGCAGTAAAATAGTCTCCTAGAACTAATAACTGATTATAGCAAGCAAGCTTCAGACACAGGGTTAATGTGTATAAAGTCAGTTGTTTTTCTACGTACCAATGAAATTCAAAATTTAAATATAACATTTACATTAGCATCCCCCAAAGTGAAATATTTAGGAACAAATCTAATAAAATATGTTATTTGAGGTCAATTACAAAATTCTGATGAAAGTAATCAAAGAACTACAATAATGACATTCCAAGTTCATGAACAGAAGACAATATTCTTAAGATGTCAGTTCTTTCCAACATATCTACACATTCTATATAACCCAGTAAAAATTCCATCAAGCTATTTTGTGGGTTTCAGCAAACTCATTTTATGTGGAGAAACAAAAGATGTGGAAGAGCTGATACAATACTGAAGGAGGCAAGTTGGAGGACTGAAACCACCTGACGGTAAGATGCCCTCTAAGGCTATAGACACCAAGATGTAATACTGGTGAAAAGACAAGCAGATGAATGGAATGGAAGATAAAGCCACAGAAATATGCAAATGATCATCACACTGGCAATACAATGAGGAAAGAGAGTCTTTTCAACAAATGCTGCAGGAATTAGATATTCACATGTGCTTTTTAAAAAAGAATTGAGACACAGATCTTACATTCCTTCACAAAAATTAACTCAAAATGGATCACAGGCCTAAATAGAAAAAGGCAAAATTCTAAAACTTCTAGAAGATCACAGGAGAACATTTACATGACTTTGGCTTTGGTGATAGCTTACATACAACACTGAAATCATGATCTATGAAAGAAATAATAAGCTGGACTTCGCTAAATTATTTAATTTTTATTTATTATTTATTTAATATTTATTCTGGAGCCTGGTATGGGAGCTCACACCTGTCACCCAGCACTTGAAAGGCTGAGGCAGGAGCTGAGTTCACAGCCAGCAGGAACAACATAGTGAGACCCTGTATCCAAAACAAAACAAAAACAAACACTAAAAAAACAGGTCAGAGACCTTAACTGATATCTTACCAAAGAAGCAACACAGACTAAGTATATGAAAAGATGCTCCACTTCACATGTGATTGTAGCAATATAAATTACAACTGCACAGTGAGTGGAACCCTATGAAGGAGATGCCAGTATAGATGCCCCTCCATTTAAAATAGGGCTGCATCACAGTAAACCCATTATGTATTGAAAGTACCTTATGTTCTGCCTAGTCTATTGGGCATCATAGCTTAATCAAACAGTGCACTACATAGAACTAGCTCTTCACTCTAGTAACTGAGGCTCACTGGAAAGTGCAGCTGCCCAGCATCATAAAAGCATATCCAAGTGCGTACTGCCAGCCTAGGAAAAGACCCAAACTCAAGATATGGTCTGAACTGAATGTGCCATTATAATGTAGAAAAATCACAAGTCAAATCATCACAAGTCAGGAGCCATCGGTAACACTGAGAAGACAACATACAAGTAGATATCCACTGACAAGTATTCTTTCTTCTTTTACAGCTACACTTTCTTCTTTCATCATCTGCTTATACAGACTCTAGAACATCTAATCTCTACCATACAAGGGAGCACTTCATTTGTGCTCCCCTTACTAGTTCTGTTAATAGTTTTACGACTACTAACCTAGTCTTTCTGAGTATATATCAGCATTCCCTATTCAAAAGCAGTCAATTTAAAGGGGGGGGGCAGATAAAACTCCACCCAACAAAAACATGTAAGCAGAATTTCACTTTCCAAAGATGCCCTGATTTTCCAAATCATCATGCCCAAACGGCATTACTTGGTGCTGAAAAATATTACTTAGTGCTAAAAATGTGGTAAGAACCGCATTAACAAAAACATCATTAAATGGCTCTTTCACACACAGAGGCAATGATTTGGGGCTCTATTTCAAATGACTTGGGCTATTACAATATCCTCTGACACCCTAATAGGCCAGCATTAACAAACTACCACTGGAAATAAAATTCTATCTAAGCCCCAAATAACCACAACAGCAATAATAGTAAGACTAACAGCTAACATTCTCTAAATTTGAACTATGTCTCAGATAGTACTACAAATACCTTAGAAGACTCCATTCATTCAATCCTTATAAAAATTTTAGAACATCAGCATTACATTTTAAAGGTATAGAAAATAAGGCAAGTTAAGGAACTTGCTTGAGATTACAAAGCAAGGAAGCAAAAAATTCAAATCTATGAAGCCTGGCCTTGAGACTAAACTATTATTCTTTGCCAAAAGAACAATAAATGGTATCTCTTAGTGAACTGAGATTCTTAAAATTTTTACTACCAGAAAAGTAATTCTCTAAAACTAGCAAATTTAACTATTTCTTGCTGAATAAAGAAATATATCACATTTTATTTCTTTAATATTTACATACAAATGTTCATTAATGAAAAATCTTAACAATAAAAAAATTTGTATTTAAAAGCTCCCATGTAATGCATGTATTTACCTGGCAAAAACTTCAAAGTCTGCAGCATCTGTCTTTCCTGAGAGAAATCCACCATCAAATGAGTCATGTTATCACTGACCTTTGGTTTCAAAGAAAGGCGAAAGGCTGAAGCCATTGTGACTCTGTGGTAAACACAAACACACTTTTAAAAATAAACGAATGGGGAGTCACACATATTCTATAATTTATAAAATTAAAAGATAAAAATTGCTTCACTTAGTGACTGCAGAAGTTTTAACACAAATAAAAATTTGCTTTTTCTTTTGGAAACTGAAAAAAAGAAACCTGAAAATTGCCTTTTAAAGACATTTAAGGTAACTTAGCAACTCCATTAGGTTTTATAAAATTTCATATATATATATATATATATGTCACTTCCAAGGTCTTATGAGGGCAATAGCCATCTAAAACTATAAGAGAGGTAGCTATCTCTATTATCCAACATATAGTTTATTCCAGGTAAGGTGTGTTCTCACAGGAAGTACAGATGGAGAACCAGGAGGTTGTTGCTTCAACTTTACCAGACCCAACATTCATCTGAGCCTCTGTATACTCAATCTTACTGACTTCCTGTTGCCACTCTCCTTTGCATACACAAATAATGATCTGTATATACAACATTTCAAACAATCTCCCAGTGACATCTAGACCATGTACCCTCAGCATGGGTAGAAGCAGAAGGCCTAATACTGTACTCTTCAATACTTGCTAAAGATAGATCATAGATGAGAAAAGACAGAACTAAAATCACCAATAGTGAGTTCCATACTGCCAATCCATCACTCTAACCTATCCACATCAGCTATATGGAAGGGTAGGATCAGAAGCAGCCCTGTGAAACTAAGTGTTATAGAAATAAGAAGAGTTCAGTAAACAGAGAAATGTGAAGTAAAGCATAAAGTAAAAATCAAGTCAAATCAAACGTTACTTTTTCACATATTGGGGAAAGAATTTAATCTCAAATTTCATTTTTTCATATTACAGTAAATTTCCCCAAGTATCATAAAGTCAGTCCCATAATATCCTTGGTCAAAGAAAAATACAGAAGGACTATTCATGAATATTCATGAATGTTCTCTTCCTAGCACAGATTTGAGAGAGGATACAAATAGAGCTATAGGGAAAAGGGAACATGAGGCCTAGTCTATTGGATCTGCCACCAACTGATCATAAAAGATGTCAAACTTGCTGTCAAAGATAGCAAGCTATTGCTGTGTTCAGTGATTTAGTTTTAAAACTGAATAACCACTGATTTGGTAACAATCAGCAAATAGTAATTTACTCTTTCAAGAAGAAAGTGCTATATTGAAATACAGTTTATTGGAAAGTCAACTCATTATGCGGTATATTCTACATATACTACATTAAAGTGTTGGTTCTCAAACAATGAAATTCTAATTATACCAATACAAATTTAGGAACAAAGGCTAACTTTTGTATGTATTGTTCTTTACAGTCCCAGGTATCTTTTGATTTCAAGACTTCCTTAAGAAGTACATTTATATGAGGAACTTTCATAAATGCTCACTGAGTCAGTGAATGGGTGTGAGCTTGCTTGTTTTTTTCTAAACCTAATAAGCTAATTGCTTAAGGAGAAATGTTGAGAAAAAACTCAAAAGTACTTTAGAGAATTTACAATCATAAACCTGTAAAATTTAGTAAAACTTGACTTAATCAACCATGAACACAAAGAATATCCCCCTAAAAGTGCATTAGAAAGATTATCAAAATCTAAAAAAAAAAGACTAATTTCTAGCCAAAATGAAATTCTAAAAACTTACATGAATCAATTCAGAGGTACAACAATAAAATCTTTCAAAAAACTGAAATTTTACTTTAAAACTGAATATATATACTTAGACAAATGGGCCTCGAAGTCCAAACTAAAAATCTAAAATTGCTAAGTTGTTCTCAAACCTCCTGTTAGGTATGTTTTAATTCACTTTGACTTTTTTAGATTTCTTACAGCAGCAGCTGAATTAAAATAACATTTTCTCCTAGTTTTACTCCTGACAAGAGTTATTGTCTACAAAACATATAAATACATTTAATCTCTTCAAACTACAAACTAATTTAATTCTCTCCTTCCTGACTCTTTTCTTCCAGAACCAGTAATTCCCACTATCTACCTCAACCCATCACTGTCCAGTATTACTAAGTACTCAGAAATGTATATCTGTTGTCAGGAGTAAGTATGGGAGTTGGGGAAGCACAAAACCAGAAAATCTTGAAACGAAAGAGAGATGTGACAGGGTCTCTCATAAGATTTCTGGAAGCCCAAAATCTGGGTAGGAAATAACTTATAAAACAGAAAACAGGAGAACGTGATGGATGCTAGCTAATCAAGAATAACCTAGCCTGGGTGCAAAACGGATTTCTTCTGGCAAGTTTCAGTAGACACAACCCAAATCCTCCTTATCAAAACAAAACAAGAACCTGCTCTATCATCTACTCCTTACATGTTTTTTTTCACCTTCAACTTCTTATGACCTCACTGGGCATGGTGGCATGAACCCATAGTCCCACATGCAACTATAGTCCTAGTTACTCTAGAGTTGAGACAGGAGGACTGGGCAACATAATGAGAACATCACTTCAAACAAAACAATAGAAAACCCTCTAGTGATCTTCTTCTATACTCAACACTGATAAGAATGAGCCACACCATTAGCCAGTTCATGTTATAAAATCTACAAAAATACAAAAATTAATATTTGTACTAAGAACACTTGGACAACTATATAAATCTAGGTCCTAGTCAAATAACCATGAAAAAAACCCAAAAGAAATTTTCTGCCAAAATTAACAAAAGACACTGGTTTTCACACGATCCATACGAATATTTTTATGAATTACTTATGAAGAATAAATTAATCTAGACTTGACAGTAATGCTTGAAGAGCGGTATCTGTCAGAGAATCTCAGGATCCTCAGATAAGAACCTTAAATTAGAACCATACTACAGTCAATGTTCAGTGACCAGTGGGGCAAATCAGCTCTTCCCTCAGCTAACATGATCCAAATGCTACCAGTCACTCCTTTAACACTCAGATGAACTCATTCCAGCAAGTACTAAATGCTTTTATTTCCCGTCTCTACCAATGAGAAACACAAAAAATATTTAATCACTTTCTTGATTCTTTTCTTCCCACAGAATATGAACGAGAGTGGTGGCATTAGAGAGAGAAAGAGATGGCACCAGGAACAGGCCAGTAAGAATACAGAGGTGTTAGACAGGACAGCAGCAATGTAGAAGAGTCTCAGTTCCCAAAACTACCTAAGACACTGGACTTCTCTGAAAAGGCCCACTCACATTTAAGAACAGCAGCAAAAAAATGCACTCCAGGAAGATACATTTTTAATTCTTCAAAACAGTTCCACCTTCATTAGTATAACTAATTAAGAACTAGTCTATAACTACAGCTAACTATATTATTACACCAGAAATGAAATTCTCCTAGAAATACATAATCGCCCATAACTATTCTCTTAAATATGAGTTTTGAAGTCTGCTGGTTATTTTTAAGACACACAAAGAATTTTTTCTTTTTTGTATTTAGCTATTATGTACTGCTATTTTAACCAACAAAATTGCAATAAAAAATTGCTTCTGAATTTCATTTCTGACTTCAACATTGACACTTAAATAAAAATGTAGGTTTTATACCATACCTATCCTTGATCTGTCTGGCAGCCTTGGAGCCAATCAGGGAGAAGAGAAAGAAGGTAGTTAGTGCTTTTCATGCAAGTTCAATGGCAGTGACATGCAAGAAAAGTTAGGATATAAACCCTGCAACAGATTAGTTCATATCACCAAAAATATAAATTACAGGAAATTTGTATGGTTCATATAAGCTTGCATAATGTGATGTTAGGACTACAGTAGAAAATCCCAACCCCCACATTAATCACTTCAAAGAGAGGAAAACTTAATATTTCAAGCTAATTCTGATGAGTATAATTGTATTTTCTTACCTTAAGATATCAAAACACACCTGCACTTTTATTTGGTCTCACATTCTTCAACTAGAACATTCTCTTTCATGGAACACATTTCTAGATGTCCTGGTGGTTTCATGGACATGAGAGCTTCCTGCTAAGTACAAAACTAGGCTGCAGTTCTAGAATGCTCAACTCCACAGAATGAGATAGATCAGAGAGCAGAAACTCAGACAAGGAAAGATCAGAAAGTATTTCTTACAAATGTCTTTCCTGGGGTAATTTCACAGAAGCTATCAGCTAAAACCTATTGTACATATCTTTTTGGCTCTTTTTTGGGAAAATGCAAATACAAGTTTAGGAAATGTTCAAAGCTATTGTTTGACACTTTCAGTCACAGAAAAAAATGGAAGCACACAAAGCTGTTGCCCCTTTACATATGAATGCAATGTAATACTCTCAAAAGAAGATTCTGTTCCACACTAACGAGTATAATTAATACAGATGACAGAGGAAACGGGCTGCTTTGCTAGCACAATGCCTGGTACAGGTAATAGTAATTCTTAAGCAGCTAAGTGCTTCTGTGGCCTTTCTCCTTAAACCCTAAATTGTTTCAGCCCTAAATTGTTTCTACTTGCTAAAGGTCATTTTTACATCCAACTTCAACTATTTTGGCCTGAAACAAAAACACTCAAGATTTAAGAGATCAGCACATTATATACCCCTAGCATTACCAGTAACCAGCTCTGTAGCTTAGCATATTAATTTTATTTCTTTACTAAGAAACTTTTTTATTAAATTTTTTGCCAATTTCATACAATATATTCTGATCATATTTAGACCTCCTTCCTTATCTGCACCTCTGCTTAATACCGGCTACCAATTTCATATACTCCCTTATATATATTAAGGACTACCAAGTCAAATTTGTGTTCCCAAATGTTCTTTGGTGTGCATCCATTGGCTGGAGTCTGGTTAACCTATCCAGTGTCACACCCTTAAAGGAAACCAACTCTTCCTCTCCTAGTAGTTATCAGTTGCCAATAGTTCTTCGGCTAGGGTTGGGACTTTTTCCCCACTTCCACACTGGTATTTTGTATGGCTTGAGCTTGTGTGGGTCTTGTGTATGCTACTACCACTGCTGTGAAATATGAGACCTAGGAACCTATGGCTAGGCGGTCACAGGCCATAGAGGAGAGTCTACTACTATTATTCCACTAAATAGACATTGTATTAAACCGATTCCTAATGACTTTACCCACAGATTAATGTATCCCTCAACTCTTACCAGGGACTTGAATTCTTCATGTTTCTTTACAAATCCTTTCTAAGGTCCACATACTACAGAAAACAATGTAATTCTGTGCCATCTCTATGCACCTTAAAACAGGAACCTAATTTGACATCATTCCTTTTGCAAGGAGTGTTAAGTTCATTAATTATATTGGCATTAAGAATTATCATGGTGGCTAGAATTGAAAAAATTAACATAGGTGTTAGGGAAGGGAAGGGGCTCTTCCTTGCACTTGCCGTTTCTCTGTGTAGGAAATGCCGTTAGCATCACTCCCTTGGCCTCTTTATTCCTTCATTTCTTTTTAGTTTTGTTTTTTTTGCAACAGTTTCCCTATAGCCCCAGCTGGTCTCGCTACCACTTTTTATTTTATTTTTGTTTTATGTGTATTTGTGTATTGCCTGCACATATGTAAGTGCACCCATGTCATACAATGTCCACAGAGATCAGAAGAGGGTGTTGGATTCCCTAGAACTGGAATTACAAAGTTGTTGGCTGCCATGTGGGTGCTGGGAATCAAACTCAGGTCCTCTGCAAGAGCAGCCTGTGCTCTTAACTGCTGAGCCATCTCTCCAGCCCCTGGCCTTCCTATGTAGACCATGCTGGTCTCAATCCTCAGAGATCCCCCTGACTCTGCATCCAGAGTGCTGGGATTAAAACTATGTGTCACCATACCGGGCCCTATGCCTTCATTTCTTAGGTAAGTGATATGATTTATCTAATCACAGTTTGAAAGAGAGACTAGGAATAAGTATCTCAGTACCTTCACACTTTTCCTGGCAGTTTGCTTTTCCACAGAGAATGCATGGTGTGTGTATATTTCTCTCTGAGCTGTTAAGTTCACTGAAACTGACCTCCTACCTACCCCCAGGGACCTGAAAAAGCCCATGCTGACCAGACCTGGGTAGGTAAATTAATTCTGGGATTTAAAATTAAGAACCTTACCCAACAAGATAACCCATGTTCTCCAATATTATAACAGTACTTGGCCTCTTTTCAGTTTTACTGTTTTATATTTCCTAATAGGTTTTGAACTTAGTTATAAGAATCCTACTTTCCAGTTTCTCTCACAAAACCTACTGATAGGAAAATATTGCTGATTTTGTTTTGTGTCTAGCATTACTCAGTAGGTGCCATTTTCATGTATGCACATGCACACGAGGCTCTCATGCCGTCATTTCGCATACTATGGTGTTTGTGAAAAAAACAGAAGAGGAAGTGATGAGAAATCAGATAATCCAAGAGAAACTTCTGTCTTAGGTATTTATATACAATATACCCACTGAAAATTCTATGATTCCTCTAATTTAGATTCAAATTTTATTTTATGTATACCTGTAAACACAGAAGAAATCCCCAAGAGGGCATTCTCAAACCCTAAAGTTATTTCTCTAAAATGACCTAACTTCAAGAATGTTTTAAAATAGAGAACTATTTTTTTTCTAGAAATTCTCCCAAAGTAGAAAGCCATCCAAAAAAGATACACTTTACCATATAGCTTGATTCCTCTATGTTCTGATTCCAAGAATGAAAATTTTGTAAATTTACATCTGAAACACTGATTGACCCTAAGATCTACACTACTCTGTTTACTAATTTCACTCAGGGAATTCTGCATATGCCTGGGTGAGGGCTTGGACTTACTTTGGGTTATGGGACTGCATGTTACTGGAAAGCCTCCAAGGAGTGTGAGTCATAGCACTGTGCTCCGCAGCATTATTCAGATCTCCTGAACCGATCCTGCAGGTTTGGTTAGAGATGGCCGGTCCCTCATTCTTTCTTCCCTTTATCAGTTCTTTTTTTTTTTTTTTTTTTTTTTTTTTTTTTTTTTTATAAAAAAAAAAAAAAAAGAGGACGATAAATCTTTCACTTTGTTTTTTTGAGACAGTGTTTCATATAGTGTAGGCTGGCCTCAAACTCTGGCCTCAGCTTCCCAAACAGGGGGATTACAAGCCCAAACCAACAAACTTCTTGGTTTTTGTTTTTTTTTAAACTCTCTATATAGACCAGGCTGGCCTTGAACTCAGAGATAACTGCTAGCCTCTGCCTCTGCCCCGTGGGTACTGGGATTAAAGGCAAGTGCCACCACACCCAGCAACCTCTGTTGTTTTTTAAATTAGTAATTACAATCTTCTAATTGATCAGTTATAAGAACCTGGCACCTGAGACTAACGTTCATTCAATAAAACTACGATGACTATCAAGAGTTATTTTAAGTAATTATTCATAATTACCATTAAGCGCAAACCAGCTAAACTAGATCTTGACCTAATCTTGCTTTTAATCTACAATAAAAAGACACAGAAACAATTTTCTTCTGTGACTATGAAGTATTTTGAAGATTAAACACCTTATTGTTTCCATACTTTAAAAAAACAGAGGCTGGGGATACTGCTCAGTTGGCAAAGTGCTTGTCTGGCATGTACACAATCCTAAATCAGAGCTCAAGAACCACATAAACTGGGTATGGGGGTACATCCCTGTAATCCCAACTCTCAGGTGATGGATGCAAGAGGATCAAGCATTTAAGGTCATCCTCAGCTATATAGTGAGTTCAAGGTCAGCCTAGAATACATAAGACTGTCTCAAAAAAACCAAACAAACAAAAAAAAAACCAAAAAAAAAAACAAGAACAAAAACAGACTTTTTAAATTCTTTCCTGGTAATTTAAAAAGTAGTCCTCTTAATGACTAGAATCAATGAATGTCAGGTTATCTGGCAGTGTTCAGAAACATCACAGTAATGGTGGATTTCCTGACTCGTTTGTAGTTGTCAATGTGAAACTACTGTCAAGCCAGTATGATTGCATTTGTACATTATGCATACAGGTCATAGGTAACATGGGCATATTTCCCCCCATATTTCCTTATGTCACAAGGCCCAAGTCATTCAAATTCACTTAATTAACTATGCCTTTGTGAACTATAGTCAAAATTATATGCAGTGGGGATGGGTGATTCTTTTTCACATCAAATATTGGAAAGTGTAAGGTGGTTTTCAATTCAGGATGTTGTACTATGTGGTCTTCTTGAAATGCAAGCCCATCCTCCTCTGCGCCTCCTTTATTCTCTCTCCGGTTCAAACGTTTACTTTACTACTTCTGTTTCTCCTGGGATGGACTCTGGACAGTTGGACTTCCCATTTTCTCACCTTCTCACTGCACTTGTACGAGTTCATGCTGCAATGTACTCTCGCTCCCATCTGTCTATCCAGCAGGGGCACTGCTCCGTGTGGAGCCTCCGCCTCCTTTTGTTTGGTATTCCTCTTTTCATGAATCTTCCTTAATGATTTGTTTTTATTTTGTGTGAATGAGCGTTTGCCTACATGCATGTAAGAGCACCTTGTGCATGTCTGGTGTCTGTAGAAGCCAGAAGAGGGTGTTGGATACCCTGGAACTGGAGTAACAGGTGGCTGTGAAGACACCATGTGGGTGCTGGAACCAAACCTCAGTCCCCTGCAAGAGCAAGTGCTCTTAATGGCAGAGTCATCTCTCCAACCCATCTTTTCACGTATCCTGACAGTCCTTTTCATTTGTGTTTTACAGTACGGTGCTGCCCAGCCTTCAGACCATTTTTTTTCTTTTTTCTTCAAATGTTCACAATTCTGTACAGTTTTTTTTCTTTTTTTTTTCAGGTAAATCCAAAAGATACTCATACTTTTTATGGTATATTCAAAATATTCATTTAGTGGCATAGTGGCATCAGAGAGGCACAGGGTACATACTCCAAGATGTGAAAAAACTCAACATTTGGGTCTCAGGGACCTATTAGCTCAGCCCAAACAGCAAAAGTATAGTTCTTCTAAATACTATTTCTTTTCTCTTTTTATAGAAAGAGAGAATGAAAAAAGAAATAATCTCAAAACGCCTTTTTTTTTCCTTTAGGCAAAAATACTGACCTTGGGGGGGAGAAGTCAAATTTATTAAGAAAGTTTATTCCATACAGTAACTTTCATTTTTATATATAACTTTTTCATAAAAGCATTGTTTCAAAAAGCAAAAAAGTAAGTACCTTGAAACAAACTTTGCAACATAGTACTATGATATGACTATGCACATTTGTATAATAGACTGTATTTCTGTAAGCTATCAACACTCACAAATAGAAGGGAAAATTATATTTCAAGGTATGCTTAATAAATGTTTCCTCTGTTTTGAGGTCATCTTCAAATCTAAGTGTTCATTCCTTGGTTAAAGGTCTTCTCTTTTCCCAGCACTCCTGACTTCAGCCTGGAGAAGGACTTCTGCCAACAGCTCTGCCTGCAAAACACTGAGTGAGCTTCCTCCCTACTTGTTCTTCTCCATGCTCAGAGACTGACAGTATTCCAAGGATGAGGACTGGAGTGAGGAAAGAGAAATAAAACAAGCCCATTTTCTCTTTTCATCTGTGATCAAATGCTGAAGACACTGGATCCCTTTCACCTTACCCTGCTCTTTTTATTTCACTGTGGGCACTCCTGGGTAGGAAACTATTCTACAACTGGACTGTAAAGAGGTGGACAATTAAATACTGACCAGGAAATTGTTCTGACCAGTTCTTTCCATCGGGAAGATTTTCAGGATAAGAACAGGAATATTAACTTTGACAAACGATACAAGCAGCTTTCTGTAGGCCAACTACAGGCTAGCAGAGAAACTAGAATTGGTAGAGTGCTGGCTATTTACCTAATGATCCAGGCCCAGATATTTACCATATGATCTTTCTGAATATATTTACTATCAATAAAACTTCTAATAATTTAAAAAATAAGTTGAAGTATGTTCTAAAATCCTATCTTATTTGTGCCATTTTTACTTGTTCACTTTAGATTATATAATGCTGGCAAATACCTTCATATTGAGATCTCATGCTAAGGTACAGGAACATGGTAATTTAAATATCAGAAGCTAAAATACTCAAGATAATCAAGTGAGTTTTAGCCAAAACCATTGCCTTGTATTTCCATGTACTGATTATATTACTGATCTAAGGATGTTAACAAGTAGCATGGCTAAAAGAATTTCTTTTTTCAGCTATCTTATAATACACCACTAGTTTAACAATTACACTCAAAGCAATTCTTCAGAGTTATCTTACCATACTGTGTCAGCAACTAAGGCCTCTAGATTATGCAGTTGGCTATGAAAGTGAAATGCATTGCTGGGTTGTAACCAAACTATTATCTGGATCTTGTTTGGACATACTAAGAAAATAAGTGTAAGAAGCTAAGTATTTTTCTTTAACAATCTTTTTGGCAAGGAAACAACTTTCTGCAAGAAAAACTAACAATTCACTGAGGGCTAGGATGCAGATTAATGCTAGAGGACTTACCTAACATTCACCCTGGATTCAAGCCCCACATCTTCAAGTGGCTGAAACTCCAAAGTAGTATTACAAAATGTTGGAAGACCAAAACAGTAAGATAAAGAAATCAAGGTGGCAGGGCCTGGATAGATGGCTCAGCGGTTAAGAGCACTGGCTACTCTTGCTGAGGAGCCAGGTTCGGTTCCAAATACTCACATGGCAGCTAACAACTATCCTAACTCCAGTTCCAGGGGATCCGACACCCTCTTCTGACCTCTGTGGGCACTGCATGACACAGGTACACTTACATACATGCAGGCAATACACTCATACATATAAAAAAATAATAAAATAAAATATATGAAAAAAAATGGGGAGAACTCAATAAGGTTGTCATGTGTTTTGTTTCTGTTGGTACAACCCAAGATATTATAATAAATTAAAAGTTAAAAAAAGAAAAACCAAGGTAGCATAATCAAGAAAATATATTTACTAAGGAACTTTCGGCAATTGATGGCTGCTGGGAAGGGGAAAGATAGTGTCTTACAGGGATGGGACTCTTGGTGATCTAAATGTCATCAAACTATATTGTATGATAACTGCAAAAATTCATTAAAAATAACAATAAAATTAAAAATAATGAAAAATAAGTAAGCCTCCAAAAAAGAAAATATATTTAAACTACAAGGTAATTTCATTTTAGCAGAGCCTTTCCAATTTGCTCAGAAAACGTTTTAAGAGAAACAAGGCTGAAAAGAAAATGGAGACTAGAGCCACTGTGAAAATGTCAAGTGAAAGAGAAAACTGAAAGAAACAGTTTTTGCAGGCATCAAATCCTATTTACTTACTTATTCTGGTTTGTGAGATGGACTTTGCTATATAGCCCAGGCAGATCTCAAACTTGCGATCCCCCTATAACAGCCTTTTGAACTCCTGGTTTCAGGGGTGCACCACCACGCCTAGCCTAACCCTCTTTAAATGTAGCTGAATTTAGTTTTTTTTAGTATTTTACAGTTTTTTTTTTATTGCTGGTATTTTATCATTTTCCTGTCTTCTTCCTCAGTCTCAAGCTACCAGTGGTTAATTCTTGCTGTTATAAGCATGTTTGCCACTGACTGCCCCCTCCCCCTTTATAAGGGAAATCTGTTCACAACTAGGAAACAGAAAAAAACAAACAAAAAAAAAAACAAAAAAACCAGTAGTACCATGTGCAAATTTGTCGTGAACATATTTGAAAAGTACTGTGTGCAGAGGCTAACAGCTCCCTTCCATGAACTCTGACACTGATTCTGATGATTACTCTTCTGTTGTCTGCATGTCTTCTGGCTGTGTTCCAGACATGGAAGACTATCATCTAAATGCACTGTGGACAGCTGGCATGCCACTAAAATGCTTTTCCAATTAAGTTCATTAATTTATTAAACACTTTAAACAAAGACACTTTCCCCCTAAAAATTCCACTGATTTGTAAATAAAATCCAGGGCCTAAGGCATGCTGGGTAAATACTCAACCCCTGAGCTAAGGGTTCCAGTTTGCCCACAGTTCCTACCAGGTGCAAAGTAAACTACTTTTCAACTTACCACCAGATTTAAGAATTAACTGGCATCAATTTTAAATTGCAAAGGTTTGGGCTAAAACTTACCCTTCCAAAGATTTTTCTTTTTCTTTCTTTCTTTCTTTCTCTTTCTTTCTTTCTTTCTTTTTCTTTCTTTCTTTCTTTCTTTCTTTCTCTTTCTTTCTTTCTTTCTTTCTTTCTTTCTCTTTCTCTCTCTCTCTCCTTTCCTTCCTTCCTCCCTTTTTTTTAATGGAGCTTTTTGCTGGCCAGGGAGGGTCTGGTATGTAGCTCAGGCTGGATCTGAACTTACAATTTTTCTACGTTCACCTCCCATAGCACTGGGATTACAGGCGTGCACCCAGCCCACAAGAATGATTTTCTACCTTCAGGTTCATAGAAAAATCATGAAGTGAATAAGATTTACTGGATACAAATGAATTACAAAACCACCTTTCTAACATTAACAGCACTAAATATTTCATTGAAAGAATGGACACTACACTTAAGCCTCACTCTGAGAGTCTCGAAGTATACCTGTAATGACAATCTCCCACTCTTTTCACATATTTTCAGAATGATTTTTATAACTGAGTTTTAATGCATTAAACTGGTCACTTAAAAACAACCTACTCTTTTAAAGAATAAGGGTTTGGAATTCATCATCTCCTAAACACCAGGATCTAAGTAAAACACTAGCAAGCTTCTTTTTTTATATCAATTATATCCCTTAAACAAAGACCTACATTTTCATATTTTAATAAAACATCAAATCACTTAAGCTAAATAATGGAACCCAACAGTAAAATTCATAAGGTTTCAGTATGTATCTTCATCAAGTGATGAGGTCTGCCAAACAGGACCAGGGAAATGAACACAAAACTGTTTTTAAACATTAATAGCAATAGCAATCTTCTTTCCTCAGTTATGAAGTTTTTAAGAAAATCATTCATGCCTTGGGTCAAGTACATAAGAACATTTAAAACAAACTACCTCTGGGGATATAAATGAAAAAGAAAATAGCTTCTCACCTAAATTGAACATTAAAGAAAAAATTAACTAAGATAATCAATTTATTCCTGACCCCAAAGATACATATTTCAAAAATATATGCTTTGCAATAAAATGACATAAATAAAATAAAATTATTTTACTTAGGAAAAAATCCCAAGCCCTTTTCAGTATTAGAAATAACAAAACAAATCTAAAACTAAAGGGATAAGAACCTTTTATTTAACAGTGCTTAAGTATATTAAGTATAGGTTTCTGTCTATTTGCTGTATGACTTGATTACCTTTGAAAATTCTTCAGGTTCCTTTATATCTAATGACCTTGTAGCAAATTCTAGCAGCTCTTCCGAGTTCTCCAGGGCATTATTACATTGACTAAGCTGGCTCTGGAGGGGAAAAAAACCACCTAAATCATTAAAATGAACTTTCCTACTGCCACCAGACTCCTGAACATATGTTGCAATAAACTTAAAGAGATTTTAATGGCAGTAATTGAACAAATAAATGTCAAAGTGCTATTGAAGATAATTACCATAAGTCATATACTCAACAAAATTTCTTTTTTCCCATAAATTATCCAAAACTGCTCAACTGGGGCCACTGAAGGCTCAGTAGGTAAAACCTGATTATCTAAGATTGACCCACAGGGGAAGGAAAGAACTGACTTCCAAAAGTTGTCCTCTGACCTGCACTCACACTCACACACGTCACATAAATAATTTTTTTTATTTTATTATTTTATGTATATGAGTGTATTGCCTGCATGTATGTAAGTGTACCCGTGTCATACAATGCCTGCAGAGGTCAGAAAAGGGTTTCAGGTCCCCTGGAACAGAAGTTTTGGATGGGTGCTGGGAATCAAACCCAGGTCCTGTGCAAGAGCAGCCAGTGCTCTTGACCACTAAGCCATCTCTCCAGCCCCAATTGTGAAAATTTCCCAAGGCTTAACTGCATATAGATAAAAATATTCTCAAGTTTAAACAAAAAGGGAAATAAAGCAATTACAAATAGGTGGGATAAAATTTACTTAAAAGATTCTTCTCAAAGTAGTCAGAAAACCATCTATTATGTTAACTAGAATATCAAAATAATCTGTCTGCAGAAAACATCCTTTGTAATGAAGACTAAATTTCTTGACAGTGTTTAAATTACTGAAGTTTGTGAGTCAAATTAACACAATCTGAGTATTGCACTCATCACACTGCTCAAGAGTTCCACGCTACTTCAAGTCATAATTTATGGTTTCGAAGACTGACTAACACAGAAACTGCAATGTGAACACCCATCTCTCCTGCCCTGCATTCTTATTAAATAATTTCAAAACTTATTTACAGCCACCTATTGTCCTCTTAACAGTCCTTGATGTCCCTAAGATAAGCATTCCTATTTTAAGTCAATTGAGTTTTCTGTGAAACCAAGGCAACATAAATACCTACAATTATGCAAGGTACAATTATGCAAGGTATAATGTTTAAGACAAAGCAGGAAAAGATACACGGAATCACTAGGAAAAAAAACTGTGTGGCTGAAATGGTGAAACAGTAAAGAAAGCACTAGCCATCCTTGCTGGCACTATTTCCATACTTTAGTTTTTCCATTTTCGGTGCTAGAGAGATTGCTCAGTGGTTAAGAGTACTGGCTGCTCTTGCAGAGGACCCAGGTTCAGTTCCCATCACCCACGTGGTGGCCAACAATCTGTAACTCCGGTTCTAGGGGATCCAACACCCTCGTCTGACCTCCACAGGCACTGCACAACAACGGGCACTTACACACATGCAGGTGATACAGTCGTACATGTAAAATTTTTAAAAATAAAAATTAATATTTCCATTTTCTATAATGTTTGTGTGTGTGTGCATGGGCAGGCACGTGTGTTCATGTGTGTATGGGTGGTACACGTGTGAGTGTGGAGGCCAGAGGTGAACCTTGTGTGTCCTTCCTCAGGACCTAATTATTTTTTGAGATAGCATCTCTCCCTGGGTCCTGGGGCTCACAGTGATGGCTGGTCTGTGAGCCCAGAGATGCACCTGTCTCTGCCTCCCCAGCACTGTGATTACAACTATGCTTGGCTATGCCCCACTCTTTTACGTGGGTTCTGGGGATCCAATTCAGGCTTTCATGATTGTATGACCATCACTTTACCAACCTAGTTATCTACTTGGTCCCTATTTTTATAACATTTAAATTCCCCATGGATAATAAGAAACAATGATAAATTTTAAAGTAGACTTGCTAAAAAATTCAGAGTAGGCTGGGCGTGGTGGCGCAAACCTTTGATCCCAGCACTCGGGAGGCAGAGGTAGGCAGATCTCTGTGAGTACAAGGCCAGCCTGGTCTACATAGTGAGTTCCAGGCCAGCTGGGGCTACAGGGAGACCCTGTCTCAAAAAGACCAAAAAAAAAATTCATAGTAAAATCATCCCATTAAAAGACAGTCACTCCACCTCCACACACACACACAAAAAGACCAAATAGTTTTAATGGAAGATTTTCATGAATCAGATCAGTTATAATTGCAAGCTCATTGTTGTATATGCCCACCTGTGCAATAGTGGCAAGAATATTATTCAAGTAACTAATCACTCTCTAATTACATTTAAGGTCTGCTTCATAGGATGGAGCCCATACTTGATACTAATATCAGGCTTACGAACCTGAGGTTAAATAGGTCACAGGACATAGGGAGAGCCTAATACTAATCTTCTACTGGATAGTTATTGTATTAAACTGACTCTTGACTTACTGTTATACTCTCATCAATGATGGTTTCCTTATGCAGCAGATGGTAATTAACACAGAAACCCACAACTGGCCAATGTGCAGAGAACAAGAAGCTGTAGAGTGCTTATCCCTGAATAGGACACCTATATCAATTTTCTGCTTCACAAGATTCAGGGATCAATTGCAGAAGAGGGGGATGAAAGATTTTAAGAGGCAAGGTGGTAGATGACCACAAGGAAACAGTTTAACAAACAGCTGATCACTCACTCATATGAACTCAGAGCAATGGTAACAACATGCACAAGTCTCATGGAAGCTCGAACCAGGAAAAAAAATCCCAGCACAGATATGGAAAAGTAGGTAAGAAACACCAACCCAACATAAGGAAATTTTGGCAACCGATAGCTGCTGGGAGGATGAGAGCTTTTCTCATTCAAGGATGGGACTCTTGGTAAGTGAACCAAGCTCCAGAGGATGGATCCACACATTTGAGAATACAAATTAGACTCTATATACTTTATTATATATAACACAGAGTACCTTAAATTGGGCTATTTCCAGTTTCCCTACAATGCCATAACACATACTATACATATACATTTAAGCATTAAAAAGTTCCCAACAAACAACAGACACCAACCAGGTATTCAGAGTATAGAGGTAAGTAAAAAGAAACATATTATCAGTAGCATTTGAAAAATCACTAGCCTGGAGAAAGATTAATAGTGATACATAAAAAATGGACAGTAAATATGCAATATGAATGAAGTTTTGTTACTTGATGGGAAGAGAGGCCAAAGAGCAAAAGAAAAGCTACAAGTCGTGACTGCCCTCTTCACAGCTTTATCGTAAAGTATGGGCTAGAGTGACAGAAATGATGAGGTGTGGTAGGTGAAACAATTAGAGCTGTTCAGCAGAGAAAAAGCATGGGCCAGAGAAGGGATCGTTGGAGATTAAGCAACTGGGCACAAAGCTGTTTCAAACTGGTGCTGTAAAGAATAATCTGGATCCAAACTGAAGATCAGAAATCTACACAAGATGACTTTTGAATAAGATCTTTCTGAAAGTACCTATGTTCCCCCTCTCCCTGTACTTAAAAAAAAAAGTTAAGCACTGAAATTTATTAAAATAATTATATTACATTTGAAGGACAAATAAAATAACCTCTACCTCCAAATATAAACAACAAACTCAACTGAAGAAGGCATTTGATCCTTGGAAATTGTGTATATAGTGTGCATAATACACAAGGGGAACATTTGTGTTGTTCCATTCTTTCCCAATTCTCCAGGTATCTATGGCCAAAATCAGTATGCTCTCTTACTGCACTATCCTCTGAGCCAAACTGCCACCAACTTCATAAGACCAGCTATGTCTGCTTGTAAAAAAAAAGCATTACAACTGGACTTCTTTCAGAGAAGGGGGTGGGGAGTAACTGGACCCTAACCTGAGGATTTAGCCATTCCTAGCCAGTTATGTGTGATTTAGCTCTAACTGCAAGAGGCCTATGGTTGGGGAGAGGATAGAATATAGAGGTGGGGGAAGTAATTGAGAGGCTCCACCTCTGTGGTTTTGGGGAAGCCATCATCCATATCAGACTTTCCAGTGTGGCTACCTTAGGGTCACCCATGCTCCTGCCTGTGACCACTCACCCATGTTATAGAGGTTAACACTCACAAACTCACTGATTATCCAGAATGGTCACGAGGAGGGGAAAGACATTGTTTAGCCACTCCATCCTGTGAAAATTCTGGAAACACATGAAAAATGCAGTTCTATCTTATATACAAACAATGAACAGCCCAAGAAGAAATTTAGGACTTCAACCCCATCCTTACTATCACCCGAAACAAGAAAACACTTTGGAGTAAATTCAACCAGAGGCAAAAGACCTATATACTGAAAACTGCAAGATACTACTGAAAGAAATTAACCCATCACAAATAAATGGTAAGACTCAATAGTGTTAAAATGCTCAAATTACCCACGGCAACCTAATTCCGTGACATCACAATCAAAATCCAAATAGTATTTTGGGCAGAAATAGAAAAAAAGTAAAATTGATAGAGAATTTTAGGAATCCTCAATTGCCAAAACACTATTGAAAAACAATAAAGTTGGAGGCTTTAATACTGATTTCAAAACTTATTTTTAAAGCCACAGGACTTAAAACAGTGTGGTGCTGACATAAGACAAACAGAGCAAGAGAACAGAAATTTTAAAAATAAATCCTTATGTGTGTGAAAAAAAGCTTTTAAAGGGTTCTAAGACACACTGGGGGAAAAAGGAGAGTCCTCAACAAGTGGTGTTAGGAGACTGAGTCTTCACAAAAGACAGGATAAAGCAGACCCCTTCCATTCAACTTACTTAAAAAGTCTAAAGATGAATTAAAGACCTAAAAGTAAGCTCGAGAACTGCAAACAAGGGAAAGGCTTTGCAACACTGTGTTTTGCCATTATTTCTTGACTGCAGCCCTAGAAACGAAAGCATAATTTAAGGCAAATGGGACATCAAACTTAAAAATTTCTCTGTAATAAGCAAACAATCAAAAGGCTGAAAAGGCAACCTATAGAAGAAAATATTTCCAAATCACACCTAATAAAGGTTAATATCCAGAGCTTAGGGTGGGAGTGTAGCTCAGTGAAGTGCTTGCCTAATATGTACAAGACCCTGGATTCATGCCTCCCCCCTAGTATCCCCAATACTGAAAAAAAGAGTTAAGAATGTAACTAGAATACATCAAGGATACCTATAACTTAAAGAAAAATACTTAATCCACCAAAAGTCTTAAGAGAAATTTCTTCAAAGGAAATACACTGATACTGGAACTGGAGAGATGGCTCAGTGACAAAGGCACTTACTGCTCTTGCAAGAGGACCAGGTTCAGTTCCTAACACCCATCTCCAGAACCCTCTTCTGTTCTGTCTGGTACACATACATAAATATAGGTAGGTAAAGTACTTGAACACAAAATAAAAATAAGTCAATCTTTAAAAATACATAGATATTGACAGGCATGCAAAAAATCATCTCCAATTGTTGTGGAAATGTAAATCAAAACTATAACAAAAATATTGGTTCATACCCTTTATTTTTAAAATTTTTTTATCTATTATTATTTTACGGGTATGAGTGTATTGTTTGCATGTAGGTAGATGCACGCATGTCGTGCAATGCCTGCAGAGGTCAGAAGAGGGTGTCTGATCCCCTGGAACTGGAGTTACGGATGGTTGCTAGCCACCATGTGGGTGCTGGAAATCGAACCCGGGTTCTCCGCAAGAGCAGCCAATGCTCATAACTGCTGAACCATCTCTCTAGCCCCTGGTTCACACCCTTTATGAAGTCTGCAACCAATACAAACAAACAAATAAAAAACAACAGAAAAACAATGTTGGTATGGGTATGGAAAACGGGAACTTTGGGCACAGCTGGCAGGAACATAAAATAGCACAGGCAGTATGGAACAGAGTGTGCAGGTTACTCAGAAAACTAAACGGGCAGCTACCATGATTAGCACTCTGACCTCTGGATATACAACCAAAAGAATGAAAAGGAGTATCTTAAAGGTATATTTACACACCCATCCTTACTGCATCATTATTTTCGATAGGTAACTGGTAGAAATACCTCCATGTCCACAGACAGAATGGGCAAAGAAAATATGACACATAAAGAAAAGTTATTCAGTCACGAGGAAATTATGGCATGTGCTACAGGGATCCTCGGAATATTATGCTGAAATTAGAAGGTCACAAAAGGACAAACACCATACAATTCCACTTTCATGAGACACCTAAAGTAATCAAAGGAATGGAAATAAAACAGCATGACTGCCAGGAGCTGACATAAGGCCAAGTGAGGAACTGTTATTTCAAGAGATACAGAGTTTCAGCTTTGTGGTCTTTTTGTGGAGACCCCGTAGCCCCAGCTGGCCTAGCACTCACTCTGTAGACCAGGCTGACCTTGAACTCAGAGATCTGCCTGCCTCTGCCTCCCGGGCATAGGCATTAAAAGCATGTGCCACTCCACCAGCTTCATAACAAGACAAAAAAGAACCTGAGTTCTATTAAACAACAGTATAAATCAGTAAACTGTATACTTCAAAACTGTTCATAGGGAATTCCATAGCATTTTAAGCACAATTTTAAAAGGCATTTATGATCAGCTGGGCATGGTGGTGCATACCTTTTATCCCAGCACTTTGGAGGAAGAGGCAGGAGGATCTCTGTGAGTTTGAGGCCAACCTGGTCTACGTAGCGCAAGACAAAGAGTTATACTTAGAAAGATACTAATTTTTGCTTCAACAAATCAAACATTAAGTAAAATATTCATACTTAACCAGCTGCATAATCTCACCTGCAACTCCTGTGATTTGCGAGCTTGCTCCTGCTTGATGCTGTTAACCATACTTTCTTTTACATCATCCAATATAGAGTACAAACTATCGAATTCTTCATCTAACTCTGAAAGTATGTTAGAAGAATTTTCCTGTTTTACAAAACAAAACAATGATTTTACTGAAGAGCTATAAGACATTAAAAATGAAAAGACACAAAGGGAAAAAGGTTCACATCTTATACTACCTTAATCTAGTAGAAAACCAACTTCTAATCTTTTAAAATATGTTATTATTTTTATTTATTTTATGTGTATGAGTGTACTGCCTGCATGTAGGTAGGTGCACCTGTGTTGTTCAATGCCCACAGAGGTCAGAAGAAGGTGTCAGATCCCCTAGAACTGGAGTTAAGACAGTTGTTAGCTGCCATGTGAGTGCTGGGATTCGAACCTGGGTCTTCTACAAAAAGAGCCAGTGTTTAACTGCTGAGCCATCACTCCAGGCCCAACTTCTAAAATTTGACTTCAGTTTTCAAACAGATAAATGCAAGAAGCTGGCTGCTGGTGCTGTCAGTGCTGTTTGAGCTCTGCCGAGTCCATCTCCTTTCAAGGACACCCCACACTCTTCTCTACCCAGACCTTCAGCCTCAGGCACTGAAGCCTATGTAGTGGTTTCAGTTTGAAACGAACCAGAATCAGTGGTAAAGCACTTTAATATTCAGGGGTTTCTAATTCAGCATCTCTGAAGGACAGTGTGGGTTTACAGGGATGGGGCTGATTTTGCCTGAGTTTTAAAATCCTTCTGGTTTTTAAAAACACTGCATCTATATACTTGAAAGAAAGTAAATCTTTACTGGCTCACAAGAGTGATCAACACTGAATTTTGTGCTAAAACGCACAAAATAATCTACTGAGTAGAACTTGTAGTCAAACTCCTACATTTTATGAACTAAATACAGAGAAGTGGCCCACCTCAAAGCCATACAACTATAGTTACTAGCAATATCATCAATAAGGCATTCTAAGTCTCTTGACTTTCCAGGATTCCTCACTGCTTTATTTATTAAGCAAGATGCCATTATTTCACAAGGAAATACAGTAAAATATTGGTGAAATTTCTACATAGCAGTATCTATCATGCAGTAAGTATGAGGCAGAAAAATTCTCAAGGCATTTTTTTTACCTTTGAAAAATCAACTGAGAAACAATCTGTATGAACAAAACCATACTCTAATATCATATATACAAAAAATGTTGCTTATGTTTATAAAATCCAGACACCATTTCACTCTGGAAGAAGAAAGTCTGGAAGGCAGAAAATTTAATTTCAATCTCTTTCTAACCTCTTGGTAACAGTGACCCTGGAGAAGCATCTAAATTCCTAGGCCTTATTTGTTACAAAGGACCTGCACTACAGCTTTCCTCTCAATCACTACTGTGCACATTTGTGCTCATCTCCTGCCCACTGTACCTCATGCCTTATCTTTAAGGATAAGGGAGCAGCTTAATCATCCGCTATTTTTTCTGCAGTGTAAAGTAGAATTTCAGTAATATATTGAGCATAAGAATAGTTTTGGCTAACTTTAAGTGAAAATCTTTTTCCAGATTTCAAATGCAATGATTATTTTCCATAGACTCACTAACTTTTGCTTGAGAAATGGATTCGCCAAATGATAAAGACTCAATAGGCCAAGAAACAGGCTAGGTTATTAAAAAAAAAAAAAAGCTTTCCTAAGAGTCTGCTTCCTATAAATCTTCTATTTTCTATGTGCTTCACAAAGAAATAACCTCTAAAGAAAAGCATTAGCATATTTTTACATTTTATTTTATTTTTAGAAAAATAATTATATATATACAAGGTACAGTGTGATGTTTTGACATACGTACATGCAGTAGAAAGTTGAAGTCATACCAGTTAACATAACTATTACCTTACTTACCTTTTTTGTGGTGAGAATGTTTAAAATCTTCGGCAACTCTGAAACACTCCCTGTGTTATTAATAATGGTCACCATGCTGTGCACTGGACAGTTAACACGCATTTCTCCTAGCTGGAACTTCCTACCTGCTGACCAACACATCCTTTTTCCTCCATCCTCCTCACTTTCTCTGCTTTTGGTAACCACCATGCTCTCTGCTTCTCTAAGTTTAACATTTGTAGATGCCATAGGTGAGTGATACCACGCAAAGCCTATGTTTCTAGGCCTGGCTTTGCTGAATGTCTTCTAGAGTCATCCATGCTGTCAACAGAAGACAGCTCCCTTTTGAAAGGCTACATAGTACTCTAAGTATATGCTTTCCTTACGCAGTCATCCACTGATAGGCACCATGACTGTTTCTCTTGGCTGTTGTGAATAGTGCTGCAGCACACATGTGGTGATTTCAAATTCTTTGAATATACCCAGAACAGGGATTGCTGGATCAAATGATAATTCCTTTAAATTTTTTGAGTAACCTCTATACTTGTTTCCATAGCAGCCATGTGATTTTACACTCCACAAACAGGGTAGGAGAGTGCCAATTTCAATACATCCTGGTGAAACATATTTATCTTTAGGGATTTTTTTTGGGGGGGGGGGTTGAGACAGGATCTCACTATTTCCCCAGGCTGGTCTTGAATTAATGGGTTCAAGTGATTCTGCTGCCTGAGCCTCTCAAGTGGTTGGGGCTATAAGCATGTGCCACTGTGCCTGATAATCATTTGTCTTTTCAATAAAAACTGTTCTAACAGATATGAAATGATATCTCATTGTGATTTTAATTTGCATTTCCTCATCATTAGAAATATTGGGAAAATTTTAGTATATGTAGTAGTTAAAATTTTAACATATGTAGTAGTTATTTCTTCTTTTGAAAAATGTCTATTCAGGTCTTTTGCCCACTGTTCATTCAACAGCTCTCTTGTTATTTCATTCCTCATGTCTGGGGTATTAACTCTTTATATGGGAATGGTTTACAAGTAATTTCTCTCATGCTGTGGGTAGTGTCTTTGCTCTGCTATTTCCTTTGCTATACAGAAGCTTTTTATAACGATATAATGTAATTTTGCTTTTATTGCCTGTGCTTTGGGGACCTAACGTAGAGCCATCTCATATTTTTCTAATAGTTTCACAGATTCGGGTCTCACGTATACCTTCAATCCATTCTGAGCTGACTCATATGCAGGGTGAGATAAAATTCCAATCTCATTCCTTTGCCTGTGGATACTCAGTTCTCCTAACATGACTGTCCTGGTCCCTCTGTGTGTTCTTGGTACTTGTGCTAAAAATCAACTTTGTCGGAAACCAACTGGCTATGAACATGTAGGTCTATTTCTAGGCTTGCCACTGTGTCTGTTTTTGTGCCAGTACCATGCTGTTTTGGTCACAATAGCCATATTATGAATTTTGAAACCAGAGAGCATCATGCCCCACATTCTTTATGCTCACTGCTATCCTGGCTGTTCAGGATCTATGTTTCCTTATGAATTTTATACAATCTTCTCATCTCTGAAAAAAATGGTATTGGAATTCTGGTAAGGATTATACTAAATATAGGATGCTTTGAATAGTCTGGACGTTCTAACAATATTAATTCAATCAACCATGAAAATGGAATTTTTACATTCATTTCTATCTTCTTCTATTTCTTCCATCAGTGTTTTATAGTTTTTGCCATATAGATTTCTATTTTTTATTGAAGTATTTTATTTATCTGATGCCACAGTAAATAAAATTATTTTAATTTCTTTTTCAGATAGTTTGCTGGTATAGAAATACCACTAATTTTGTGCTGATTTTGCATTCTGAACAGCTTTACTGAACTTTTATTATCAGTTTTAATAGTTTTTTGGTATACTATTTCTATATATACCATCATGTTATTGCCAATTAGGCAATTTCTTTTCTTTTCTTCCTTTCCTAGTTCGATACCTTTACTATCTTCTTCACACCTGAATGCTCTGATCAAGTCTTCCAATACTAGACTGAACAGAAGCAGTGAGAGTAGGCATCCTAGTTGTATCCCTGATGATGGAAGAAAAGCTCTCAACTCTTTGGTCTTATGTGTAGTATGTATTAGCTGTGTTTGTCATGGAAGGTCTTTAATGCCTTCCATGACAAATGGAGGTACAATCTTCCTATACCTGATGTTTTCAGTTCTTAATAGTGAAAAGATGTTGAATTCTGTCAAATAATTTTTCTTCAACTAATGACAGAATCAAATGGGTTTTGTTCTTAACTTTGTTAATACTTGTGAATCACAACTGATTTACCCATGCTGAACCATCCCTGTATCCCAGGGATAAATCCCACTTAATCATGTGAATGACCTTTTTAAAACAAATATTTTATTTATAATTTTTAAAAAATTTTATGTGTATGAGTGTTTTGCCAGCATGGTAAGGACAACATGTACAATTCCCATGAAGATCATAAGAAGGTGTTGGATCCACTGGTACTGGAGTTACAGACAGCTGTTAGTTAACTGCCATGTAGGTGCTAGGAACTAAACCTGGGTCCCCTGCAAGAGCAGCCACTGCTTTTAACCACTGGGCCAGCTCTCCAGCCCTATGAGAAACATTTTTTTTGTGTGTAAATTTTTCATTGAATTTCTGTGTATTTCATACAGAACATCTTAATCATCTTTACACCCCCTTCCCCAATGGTACCCTCCCATAGCCCCCTCCTGGATATCATGCATTCTATCACTTGTGTTAAGGTTTATTGAGTCAAGTTAGTGTCCCCAGATGTCCCTCAGTACAAGTTCATCCACTGCTTTTAATATGCCACTGAATTCAGTTTCCTATCATTTTGTGGGCTTTTGCTTTTGCTTGTGTATGTGTGTGTGCATAGGGGTGTGTGTGTGTGCATGTACCTGTGGAGGCCTGGTGTTGATGTCACGTGTCTTCCTTGATCACTCTCTACTTTACATATTGAGGCAAGGTATCACATTGAACCCTGGGCTCACCCTGTCAGGTAGTCTGTCTAGTTAGCTTGTTCTAAGGACTTCTTGTCTCTGTGTCTTGCACGCTAGGATTACAGGCAAGTTGCCATACCCTACTGGTTTGTTTTGTGGGTTCCAGGGATGTGAATTCCTCTCCTCATGCTTGTGTGACAAGATCTTCTCTTGCTGAGCTACCCCAGCCCATCACGGATTTTTGCACCTATGGCTCTTTGGAGATAACAGCCCATACTTAAGAGTCCTTGTTTCATTTTTAAGGTACAATGAGTTCAGAAGTACTCTCTCCTTTTCAATGTTTTAGGAGTGTGAGGAAAACTGGTACTAATTGTTCGGCAAAATTCAAGAGTGAAGTCGTCAAGTTCTAGCCTCTTCTCTGATGGAGACTTTTAAACCACTGACTGAATTCAATCTCCTTACTTGTTATAGGTCTGCTCAGCTTTTCTATTTTCTATTCCCAATTCAGTATTGATAGCTTATATGTTTCTAAGAACTGTCAGATTATCTTGAACTCCTTTCCACAATCAACGCTTGATCCCTAGCAGTATAGGTTATCTGCCCAAATCTGGACCATTTCCTTAATCTTTCCTCTCTCTTAACTGAGCACTTCAGCTCTTAAGTTTTACTTTCATTCAAGTCTTCAATTCAGTTCCTGTAATCTACTTTTCCTTCCCACTACCTAATGTAGAAGAAATATTTTGCTTTCTAGTACTTTGAAAAGGCACCATTTCCTCTTAGTGAAGAAAAACATCAAATAGGAAAGGACAAAAGTAAGCATTTCAGTACTTGGTGGGAAACACCATTTTCCTTCCTTGCCATGTGCCTTCTCTCTGGAGAATGCAGGAGTGGCAAGAAAGCCTTTTACACCACCTGTCATCTAAAACTTCTCTTCTCACCTGCACTACTTTAAAACTTAGCACTGACAGAGTCTATTTATACTTCATATTTTACTTAGCTTTCATTCACTGTGATAAACCCATACAATTTGAAATAAAAAGATCCATACCTGAACTCCTTTCAGTGTGTGATTTAGTGTATCAATAAAGTTCTGAATTTCATCATTTTTATTTGCCAAAGTTGAAATGATCCTTTGTAGAGCTTCCTAGGATTTAAAATAAAATATTATGGTTTAGTCAAAGAATATAAATCTTCTAACATCATTCACTAAGAAACTGCTATGGACCTGCCCTGCTTTAGTCTCTACTTCCTAGTATGCAATGCCATCACCATAATACATTTCAGATTGAAAGGAACACTGAAAATAGTATTAGTTTAGGCCACACAAGGCCATGATGCTAAAACAAGTGGGAGCTTCTGGTACAGCACCATGGCATGAAAAATGAAAAAGACACTGAAAATCAATATTTTATTTACTTACAGTATAAAAACAATTATAGACATATAAAGGGCTAGGTAACCAATCTACATCTAGAATATTAATTATTTGATGAGCTACAGATTCATAGTAAACGTACAATTTTAGTAGCAAATATTCTAGATTGTTATAATGCTTCCAATTTAAATAAAACTTTTGATTAATTTTCTCATACTCTAGGTTAATGCTATTCCATACTTTTTATGAAAAAAATATCCTACATATATGGCCACTCATCACATACCGATAATCAATGCCAAGAAGCCTAGTAGCACAAGTAAGCAACTAAATTTACTTTCCACTCTTTTTTTTTTTTTTTTTGGTCTTTTTGAGACAGGGTCTCCCTGTAGCCCCAGCTGTCCTGGAACTCACTATGTAGACCAGGCTGGCCTTGAACTCGCAGAGATCCGCTGGGATTAAAGGCGTGCGCCACCACACCCAGCTTCCACTCTTTTTTTAAAAAATATTTTTTAAATTATTTTTCATGTATGAGTGTTGCCTGCATGTGTGTAAGTGCACCCGTGTTGTGCAATGCCCTCGGAGGTCAGAAGATGTCACTGGCATTGGATCCCATGGAACTGGAGTTGTTAGTCACTATGTGGGTACTAGGAACAGAACCCCGGTCCACTGCAAGAGCAGCCAGTGCTTTTAACTGCTGAGTCATCTCTCCTTACTTTGCATTCTTGGCTTTTTCTTTCTTATTAGTGTATATTAATTGTACAAAATAATGGGCTTCCTTATGTCATTCTTGGATACTCATGTAATGTGTTTGGATCATACCTTCCTTTAGCTAATTTCCATTTTGATCAGCACTGTCATAATGGACAGCAAAGCCCTAACAGCTCTAGCTGCTTAGAAACTTCATAAGAAAAACAAAACAAACAAACAAAAAATCATCTCAGTAAAAACTCAAATGCAAGTACTTTTCCTTTATAATATTTTCCATGTGATACTTTCTTCTAAGTACCTAGAAACTTAAATATTTTGCCTTTTTTTTTTTTTTCGGAGCTGAGGACCGAAGCCAGGGTCTTGCGCTTGTTAGGCAAGTGCTCTACCACTGAGCAAAATCCCCAACCCCAAAACTTAAATATTTTAATAAAGCCTATAAAATTCTGTAGGACCAAAAAAGAAATTCTGTAGGACCAATCTTCCCTTCAAAACACAGTCAGATATTGATTGAAAGGTTATATATAAAGCCCAGGACATAACATAAGAATGAGGAATAAGATTTTTATAAACATCCATGAAACATTAATGAAAGTTAAAAACAATCATAACAGACCTTATTTAATTTTCATAATCATTGGAGTAAGGAGGTACTATCTTCCCTGGGCTCAGCCTGTGTTCCCCTACCTATACTATTTTAATCCATCCTCATCCTTGTGGTATTTTAATAAAGCAATACAATGAACCTATGCTAAGAAAAAGGACCAAGGGCAGCAAAAGTTAGCTCTTTATTCTGTTGGTGTTCTCCCAGAAACATGTACCAAGATTTGAATACAGACAACAGCAGAATACTGACTGGAGCCAGGACTTCAGGGAGGGGTAGGCACAGTTAGCAGGGCCACAGGACTTACACAGAAAGATGTAGAAAAGGACATCAAAGAACGTAAGGGAAAAGAGGCTTCCACACACTCTTCAACGCCAGGTTATATGTGTATTTAGGAACAATGCAAGGGAACAGTAAGAACAGTACTGCAATCCTCAGACTGTTTATAGTGGGTATCAATCAATATGATCAGGTTCTTTCTGGTTAATGGACTGCTTCTGCCTCTGATCTGTTCTCATAAGGGCAAGTGCTAGAGTTCAGATATCTTAAATATTTCTCAGAGGCCCACATCTTAAACTCTGGCCCCCAGAGCAGCATTGTTGGGAAGTGGCAGAAACTTTAAGATGTGGAGGCTAGTAGATCATAGGAAGTATGTTCTGGGAGGAGATGGTAGGACCCAAATCTCTTCCTCTCTCTCCTTCACTCCTCAGCTATGAAGTGAGTTTTGCTCTACCATATGATCCATGCCATGACAGCCCTCCCCACAGGTCCAAACGCAAAAGGGCCAAAACAAGGACTGAGACCTATAAACCTATGAGCCTGAGTAAACCCTTCTAAGAGACTGCAGGTATGCATTACAGTAACAGAAAGCTGACTAGCAGCAGGGTTATACAGAATTAGAGATAAGAAAACAGACCACTAACTGTTGCCCAAATTACAGCGCTAGGAAGATATACTCAATCTCATTCCAAAGCCCATGTTCTAATCACGTTGAAAAACTACCTCTAAATCTAATTAATTGACCTATCATTTGGCATACACATATGATGAATGACATATTTTTTTAATATTTGTTTTACATTTTTAACGGTAAGGACAACTTCCGGAAGTTCCACAGTAAAGACTCACAGCTTGAACTTAAGCTCTGTTCACTGTTAGGCCCACCCAGCACACTTTAGGATAAAGATAGTAATACTGAACTGGAACGGAGGTAGAGGAATCTTTGGGAAGTGATCTTATCCTGTGGAAAGACCCAGGTCCCAAGGGATGCAGTCTAGCAAGAAAGTGTTAATCATAATCATGCTTATTTAATAAAAATGAAAGGAAATTTCACGTGCATAAAAATGTGAAATACTAGACAAGAGGTCAATCTAGTTCAGAGAGAGAAAACATTAACATTTTTTAACATTTTATTTATTATTTTTATTTTTATGAGTGTATTGCCTGCATGAATGTAAATGCACCTGAGTCATGCAATGCACGCAGAGGTCAGAAGAAGGCACTGGATCCCCTGGAACTGGAGTTACCAATGGTTGGTAGCCGCCATGTGGGTGCTGGAACCAGACCTGGGTCCTCTGGAAAGAGGCAGTGCTCTTAAACCGCTGAGCCAGCTCACAGAGAGAAAACTCTTGGAACACAAAATATTTCCCTGCATTTCTTTAATGTTCATAGCAAATTCTGAAAGAGTTTTTCAGCAAAAACTCTGGAGACAGAGGTATATTGTTTCTGCTATGCAAACTATGAGCTCCAAAGACTTTTCTTTAATGAAAAGCCTGTGTTTTTAAAGCTCCTATTATTTATTGAATACAGTTATACATACCAAAATGCTCTAATTTTAATCAGGTCTTCGTAATAAATTCTCTATAGCACTAAGAGTTATCCACCTGCTGAGAATTAATTAATCTTGTCTAATAATGGTGTTAGAAGTCATAATGCAGCCTTTACCAACTGCAATGTTCTCATTCTTAGAGCAGCACTTTCCAACAAAAACACAGCATGAGCCAACACTCACCACACAAAAAAAGTAAGAAACAGGTGAAATTTGCTGCTGATATTTTACTTAATCTAATATAGCTCAATATTGTTTCAACTTGTAAGCAGTATTCACTAATTATATAGCCAGGCATGGTGGCACACAACTGAAGTCCTAGCTGTATGATGAGCAGAGACAGGAGGATTGTTTAAGTACATGAATTCAAGGCCTGGGTAACAGATTAACACATGAAAACCCTATTTAAAAAACATACACAGCAGGGAGGGTGGGTGCCTACCTCCATCAGTGGAGCAGCTCAGATCTCAGAAGAGCTCCAGAGAGTGCCAAGTTCTGGCCTCCCTCTGGCCTCCCACTGAAAGAGGTCCTGGGAATGCAGGGGACTGCCTGAGAACATTGGGATCCAGCCTCCACACAGTGGTGAGCTTCCCCTTATTGCACCATACCATCTCCCTACCTGGGATTTCTTGAGGCCCCTCTCAAGGCCCCAGGGCAGATCTGGCTTTGGTAGGCAAAGGCTGAAATCCTAGCAGACAGCCTGAGAGGGTGGGGTTCAACCTCCATTGGTGCAGCAGCTCTGATCTCAGCAGACTGCCAGAGAGTGCAGAGTTCTGGCCTCCCTCTAGCCTCCATCTGGCACAGGGGCTGAGAACACAGGGGACTACCTCAGAGTGCCCGGATCCTGCCTCCACATGGTGAAGGAAGCATGACTGTACCTGACTAGAACCTGAATTGGGCTTCTGTGGGTAGTCCTGAATAGCTGATCTGAAGCCAACAGTTCCCTCCAAATTAAACCTGAAAGAACCTGAACCCTGTACCAACCAGCTTTACATAACCCTGATAACACAATCAGAAGCATAGTTCAACCTAATTCTCATATCAGAATCATAAACAACAAAAGAAATTCACAATGAAAGAACAGTAAAAATAGAAAGCCAAAACACTATGTCCCCACCAAACTCTCCCAACTCTGTAGAAGAGTTCTATAAGGAGAATGCCCTAGTGATAACCCAGGACACTGAATTTAAAAGAACAATCATAAACATGATCAAGGAATTCAACAAATTTAAAGAACACATGAACAAACACATCAAAGAACTAAAAGAAGATAGGGATAAACTGCTGAATGCATTCACAAAAGAGATAGAAAGATTGACGAAAACTCAGGCAGAAATGAAGAAGAAAGTGCGTAACTCAATACGCCAACTTGAAACAACAGGGGAAAGGCTCACCTCTAGAATGAATGAAATGGAAAACAGAATATCAACATTGGAGGATAAAGTTGAAGAATTGGACCACTCAAGCAGATTATGGAAGATTCAAAAAAACACAGGAATGGAATATGCAAGAGATGTGGGACACCACGAAAAGACCAAATCTACGGATCATAGGAATAGAGGAAGGAGAATTTCAGGTTAATGGTATTGAATGGATCTTAAACAGGATTGTAGAAGAGAATTTTCTGAA